GCAAAGAAATTCAAAAGCTTTATCGGTCCATTGGCGTTATAATAAAAAGTCATTGATGGCGCGAAGCATAATGTCAGAATGGTTGACTGGTCTTGAAATAATGTCTAGAAGAAATAGGTAGATTCTGCTATTTTTTAACAATTCGTCAGCCCGCCCATCAAACGTAAAAGTATAATCAGTGAAATTAGTAGTTTTCCAGCTAATGCAACATCGGTATTACTACAGCCTGTCGACAAGGTATGAGTAGAAGCTTCAAGGTTACGAAAAACCTATTTCGAAGAGGTGTACTTAGACAAATTGCTTTCAGAAGCACTTGTAGAGACATTAGGTATTTTTTGGAAGCAGGCAAGATGAAAAATTAGCAACCGCCTTTGGTGGAATCGAATCACGAATCTCTGGAATACCGGCACAGCGTGCAGAACCACTACACCACGAAGGCACGTTAGGAAGGTGGGAGAAATCTTATATATAAGCGGCTTAAGTGTTTGTCGCCGATAGTTTATTCGTTGCTTGCGTAACTGTGAATTGTTTTATTTCCCGTGCAGTGTAGCGAGTGACGAATATTATAAGAAAGCTAAGCAGGAAAAATAAAAAATACAAGAGCACGTGCATTAAACATTTAATCAATAAATTTAACATCTATATATAATAGAATTCGGAAATTTGCAACCGGCAATGATGAAAAAACAAATAAAATGAAATAAATAAATATCTTTATTATATACGGCTTAAGTGTCTGTTTGTCGCCGATAGTTTATGCGTTGCTTGCGGTGTAAGGATAAGTTTTACTAACGTTTATTTTATTTTAAAACTGTACTATCTTTTCTTATTTTCTACTTCCGGCCAGAATTAAATGCTTTAACTTGTTTATGCAAATTGTCTTGCTAACGCCCAAGTATTTAAGTTGCGGCTTTTTGCCAAGAGTTAGGAAGAGAGAAGGAGTTTTTAGGAAGCAAGCCGCTTGCCACTGCAGTTTTACGAGTTTTCACTCGGTTGCTGGTTGCCTTTAAGGCCAGAGGTTTAGCCCTCTTGATATTTGAGAACGTATTGTAGTTTCAGCAGCTCGGCGTACTACATACGTACCCTTTTAAATAAAGGCCAGTCTTAGTGCTAGGCATTTGCATACTAATTCAAAGTTAGCTTTAAGTTAGAGTTTTAGTTTCTAGTTTTATATTCTTACGTTCAGACCACAAGTGGTTGGTGTCTGTGAAGTTCGGAAGTGCCTGTAAAGTATTGAAAATAAAGGGTTTCGTATAAACTTTCCTGCTTGTGTCGTCTGTTATACACAAATCTTGAACATAGCTCGAGTAAGCTGCCTGTTCTTATTCAGGACGCATGTTTCCAAAGCAAATCAAGAGAAACACAAGTCCTGATAGCGTAACTGTACTAGCCAATGGGGTGAAGTTCCACGGCACAGGGTTGCCATTTCAATTGAGACGTAGACAATTTCCTGTAAATTCCTGTAAATTTCCTCGCCGCCTGCTCTGTGTAATTCAGTTTGAATTAGCAGACACCTTTGCACAAATAATTTTAATTACAATTTATAATATCTAGAACAGTCATTTCGTATGACCGCCGGGCTTTCTAGTACCTTATACACTGATTAGTTTGCAAAATGTGTAACTGTATTGAATGCCATTTAATGGATAACAAAAGCTGTTAAATCGGTACCATTGTGTTCAGCACTGTTTTAAGAAAGCAAGCTTTGAAATTTCACTTTTGAGTGTCCTTAGTGAAATTACTACTGATGAAAATGAATTGTTTGAACTTGTTAAAATCAGTGGCAGTGATCAAATGCAAGAATATATAGAATTCGACGAAAACGTGTGTACCAAAGACACTAAAGACTACAGAAAACATTTTATTTTAACTGCCGTTGATGATATGAGCTTTGACAAATTTAGGTTGGAAAGAAGTGAGGAAGACGAAAAAGAGCTAGACGGAAAAGTTGTAATATCCTAGCTAAATTAGAAATCCTTGAGTGTTAGAATATTGAAGAACTGTATAGCAACTTATCGCAGAGTTCTTATAAGCAAATGGCAAGTCCAAGAAAGGGTTAAATTTACCCTTTATTTCAACTTAAAATAGATGAATAGATGGACTTTTCTCGGGATTGCAATAAGCTTCCACTTGGGCTTTAACTCAAGATAGAAAATAAGAAACTAATCTAATACTAACTAAAATAAAACCAGCCAAAGCTGTAGAGAATTAACAAACAGAGTTGGCGCTTATGATTACTGGCGAATACTAGCAAGCACGTAACAATACGGCCGAATAACTGTAATGCTAGACTAACAGCAATAACGTGGCCGGAAGGCAGACACGATCTTATTGATAAGTTTAATATATTTGAACTGAAAATTTTGCCTTGAAAGGTCCACAGAACTGAAAAAATCTTTTCTTCTAAAGGTTCCCCATAAATGAAGGAACTGAAGACTGTGATGTGTTTGAGTTGCTACCTTACCAAAGAAATGTCGAATGAGAAGTGAGTCCTCACGTTTAAAAGATGCTTAAAGATGCTTTGAAGATCTTCGCACTGAAAACGTCTGTAAGTGTTCTGTAAGGTTTCTGTAAGTGTGAAAAATAAATAGATTGATGTTCCATTAAAATTGTAAAATTTCTTTAAACACTTCACTTTAGCGTATGAAATTACAGTGTATGAGAATAATAATATAAGCAAAAAATGATAATGCTAAAATTATGATGGACTTAATTATCTAACAAAATTAAATCAAGCAAAATAAAAAACAAATTCCGTCTCAAAAAGTAAATTTAATATTATATATATATGTGTGTGTGTGTGTGTGTGTGTGTGATTGATGTGTGTGCGTGTGCGTATGTCGGTTTTCACACTGGTGAGAGATTCTTACTGCTTTTGCTCTCTTTCTACTGAATATTCTACTCTGAAATTTACGAGCCTTAATTGGCTTTAATTTGTAAATATCAACATTGATGCTATTTTAAGAGAGTTCTATGCTTGATATGCTTCTGAATGCTGCATATGGGATACAGCAACTAAAAGAAAATGCACAGACTGAATGCACTACTGAAGAAAATGCAATGGCGATTTTGGCAGTTCATTGTCCCTGGCTGAATATCCAAAAATGTCAAATAAAGCAGACGCGATCTTAGAAGTTTAAATAAAGACTAACGGTTTCAGTCATTAAAGGGTTCGTCGTGACCGAAGAGCTACAATAGCCGAAATTACCAGCAGCTACAGCAGTGGCGACCCAGACAGTGTATCTCAACACAATATGCAGCGTAGCTTGTTGCGTATGGGCAAACACAGCCGGAGGCCGAAGCATGTTCCTGCACTCGAAGCACGTCATCGCCAGCTGCGTCTGCAATGGGGAAAGAAATATAGGAACTGAACATTAAAAAAATGGAAGAAAGTCCGACGAATCCCGTTTTCTAGTCCGTCACATCATCGGGCGTGTGCTAATGCGCCGATTTCCTAACTAAATCCTGGCTCCCAGATGCAAAGTTGAACGGAGACAAGCCGGTGGCGAGGGTATTACGGTGTGAGCAATGTTTTCATGGGGCACATTGAGACTCATAAAGTGAAACGGACATTTATAGTGATTCAAAGCAAAATCGCAAAGCAAAAACAATAGTCCTTCAGGACAAAGCCTCTTTGGACTAAAACCTGTTCTGATATTATTTTATCACAAATTAACGCCATGAAAAGACTTATACTTTATTTAATAAAAAAGAGGCTTAATTATTCAAGACTTGGCTTGCTTTTATTTCAAGACACAGCTTCGCACGAGGCTTGCAAAAAACATTTCCTCAACTGGCACTTCTTTAGTTTGCGAAGACAGATATCCGGAATTGAAAATGATAAACATTCAAAAGAAGTTTCTTTTAAAGTATTTAATAAGAAAAATCTTGGATAAAATTTCCATTATAAAATAAAAAAACTATAAGTAAAATAAATTGCCAAAAAAATAAATGAAAACAAAATTTAGAGGATGACAAATTCCTTTTTATCTTCATATTATATGTAAAGTAAAAAGTTGCTATACTTAATTATTAGTTCAAAGGGGCTTTGTCTCTGAAGGACTACTGTTTTTATTTTAACGAATTTTTGAGTAACAAACTCAACGATTTAAAAGCGTGCAATGGCAAAAATCTACGGGGCGGAGGAGAGAAAAACCTTTTTATCTCCAACGCGCGGAACTGTGTATCGAAAATTCTAAAGATAGGCTCATTTTAAAATTATTTTGTGACATTGCTATTGAACTGAAATTTATGGTTTAAGTGCAAAGAACGTGATATATAATAAATTAAGTTAACACACAAAACGTTAAAAAAACGCCCCTTTTGGACCTAATTTAAAATCTGAAACCTTTTAGATTTTTTAAACATTTATTTTTATTTTTGAAATTTGAGAATTTTTATCCTTTTTTTCAAATATTTTCGATTGCTATCAAGTAATTTTTTTTTAACTGAGCTTGAATAATTCTTAGTTCTGTAGCACATCCTCTCCTCTTAGGTTAAAATTTTAAACATTTGTAAAGAGGAGAAACACCATCTACTTTTTCAACTTCTCGTGTCATGACTGAAGTGTTAATTTTTCAAATAAAATCAAATAAAATGTCACTAACTAGAGCAAGTTGGGATTTTCTGCATTTTTCAATGTTATCACCTACTAATATTTTATAGTACATCTAGATACGAAGACATTTATCCAGCATAAATTACGTAAACAAAACTAAACGAAACCCGGAAAAAATCTTTCATTCTTCGAATTCGTCAGTCTGTGCAAGGGCAAAACTGTGTCGTTATCTTACCCTCTTTGAGGTACTTCGCCTTAAGGCAAGGCGACGTGACGTAGCCAAGACGTGTCGCATGAAAATGGCTACTTGCGATATTTGTCACGAGCAGCTCCTATTGAAACAAACACAAAAGGTGTTACACTTTCATTTTGTGGTTTTTGCATTGCACACTTCCTGAAAAAAATTAAAGGGATTACTAGTGCTTCCCATTTGATTCTTCGAGTATAAAAGCCGAGTATTCTCAGATACAGCAGCAGTTCGTAGTTTGCCTTGGATAAGTCAAAAATATCTTCCCACAGCTTATTCATTCAACATGTTCAAGGTATGTTGACAAATGAATGTACGTGCATATAGATTTCAGTTAATGCAATAAGAAGCCCTCGTAGGATTGTAAGATGGGGAAAAGCAATTTCTTTCGAAACTAAATTTTTGCTGTTTCTGACTTCATGTATACCATTTATGCATTTTTTATCTTAGTTGGTTAGTCCTTGAGGAAACTTTAAATGTAATTTGACGCACCTTACAAAAAGCCGATGTTTTACACATTGCTACTTCTTTTCATATGTAGTGAAGAAAAAAATAGTTTGTTGGTTCTTTAATCTTGTATCTGTTAAATTGGCTGAAAAGAGAATTCCCATTTTTCCTGGGATGTCTATCATAAGCAAATTTAGTGCTGTCTGAAATCAATAAAAATTTACTAATTTCGATTCCTAGATGATTAATTATTTCTAATAACGCAATAATCTAATAATCTTTTAAAAGAATAAAAGATAATCATCTGTATAAAATTTCGTCTTCTAAGAAGGATTATTTGATTTTCTGTTTAGTTTAATGCAATTTTTCGAAAATAATCGTTTATTTTTCCTAAAGTTATTTTATTTATTTATTTACTTTTGGTTAAATTTAATGACAATAAGTTTAATGTTTTTAAATATTTAATGGGTTTTGCATTTTAATAACGTAAAGCAAATAAGCAGCTGTTATATAACTTCAAATACTAATAACCTTTACTTCAAATACTAATACACTAATATACTTCAAGGCTTTGATTATAATAGATCTTAACTGTAGCTTGATGACTTATAAATTAGCAATCCAATGTCTTCTGCCTAGTATGTAACTCTAACTGAAATACTTACTTAGTTAATTACTATATATTTTGGAGAGTTAGACGTGAAAAAATATGGTGAAAGAAATGTGATAATATACTGAAAATTCAGATTTGAAAGATTTGCATTTCGCTTAACAAATTCAGTATTCTTTTGCGTTTAATGCAAATAATTATCTAGATTTCTTAAAATGTCCGTTTTATACAAATAGTATTACCCCGGCAGATTACTTTTAGTGTTTTTGCTTAGTAACTCTGTACCCCTATCTTTTCAAAATATTGGTATAAAAATGTCTCAATTCGGTAATTAATAGAAATAATAAAATATTGCAATATTAATTTTTCAAATATTAATACTTTTATAGAATAGTTTTTGATTATGTGAGGGACAATTCATTACATAATAAAAATCTGAATAATTAAAAATGAGCTTGCTAATTTCAAATCGTGCATTGTTTCGAGACTGATTAAAACACTGGCAACACAGAGAACGAGTAAAGCGCGAGGTCACATGGAAAAATAATTGAAGCTCTTGTGTTTTATACAGTGCCAAGATTTGCTAAGGCGAGGGGATTATATCTTTATGATAGCGTAACATAATGTAACATAATGACCCAAATGTTTCAGAAGACTCCTCTAAACTCGTTTCTAATGTTAAAATTTAACTGTAATGTATATGTAAGAAGTTATTTAAAAACAATGCTTAAAAATTTTTCATCTTTGTGAGCTCAGGATTCTTAATTCCTTTGTCTATACAAGCTTTCTTCTTTTCTTAAACCAGATTTCAATTTACGTTATTATTTTTAAAGCAATTTTTCTTTTCAGGGACTACTTCTTTTCCTGGGATTTGTTTATTTCGTCGATGGTCAAAATTACTACAGCGTAAGTATATTATAAACATCTAAATATTTTTAGCAACATGTTTTTTTGTCGAAAAAGTCAATAAAAACTCAATTTTAGATAAAAAAAAGGAACATTTCCCAAATTATTTTCATTTTATTCAATTTTAAAATTCGTCAAATTTCATTCAGTTTTAATTGAATTATTGGCATTCATATTATGTAGAAAAGTATAAATTTCAAAGATTTCTCATTTATAAAAGATTTCTCATTTTCAAAGATTTCTTATTTATATTCCCAAAAGATACGTGATTTTTAAATTCAAAAATTAGGTAACTGAACAAATTGAAGTTATCGAAAATTATTATTGATCAAATCAAGTTCGCATTTATTTCTGTGATTAAAAATATGATCTTATAACGCGAATTTAAATTACATAATATGTAATAATGGTAGTAGTATTATTGCGTAGTGATAAAGGCTACTCTGGAAAGAGTGTTAAAGATTTTCATTAATTTTATAAAAGCGTAATAGTTAAAGCGTTATGTTCATAAATTATAATTTTACATTTCTTTAACAAATGAAAAAAATCTATGTAAACGTGTTGTTATCTGAATGTCTTTGTAAGCGATGCACAAATAAAAAGATGGCTTATATTAGAAAATTTGCAGAAGATATGATATTAGTCGCTTGTAGGAAATAGCCACATAAAACTATCGATGGCATTTTATCAGGAGACTGGAACGTAATAATTTTAACCGAAAAAATTCCTTTTAATAAAAACAATATAGTTAGTTGCATTTTCACTCATAGTTGAAGAAATTATTCCTTTAATTATTCCTATTATTTTCTATTACTTAATTTCTGTTATTCAACTAATATTTGAAGAAATTATTCCTTTAATTATTTCTATTATTTATTTTCTGCTATTTAAATCCTATTATTTTATTAATATTTGAAGAATTAATTCCTTTAATTATACCTGTTATTTAATTCTTTTTGTGCACTTTTTTGTGAAACTTGATTCGTGATAGCTATTCTCACTAAATATCAACTCGAAAATCAGGTCAACAACTAAAAACAGTACAAAATCTGTTAATCAGAAACGTGAACAAGAATTTATGATCGCTTTGAGCAGCCTTTGTCAATAAAATTTCAGCAATTTGAGATAAAAGGTTTCTAAAAGGTTTCATCACTTCTCTATAAACACTTATGGTGTCAATTCAAAAAAATAGAAATTTGGTGAAATTATATAGCTTTCAACTATTCTTAATTGAAATTATTTAAATTTCACCTATTCTTAAGTGAAATTATTTAACTTTCAACTAGTCTTAAGTGAAATTATTTAACTTTCAACTGGTCTTAAGTGAAATTATTTAACCTTCAACTAGTCTCAAGTCCTGTAATAAATTAATTGTCGCTTCTCATGCGATTCTTAAAAGACCTTATTAATAAAGATGATAATGTCTTCTTTTCTCATGTATGTGGCCACACTGATAATCTAAGGAATGAAAGGGCTGTGTTGTTGGCAAAACAAGCTATATACCTTCAAGTTAACACCGCAATGGCATTGCCTAAATTATTCTTCAAGAAACAAAGTTTATAAGGCATTTTCTTCCTCCTTTCTGCATGTCTTCGTGGTGTAATGGTAGCACACTCGGCGCGTATTTGAGAGGTCCATGTTGGAGTCCCAGCGAGGGCACTGCTCATTTCTTCACATCTTTCTGCATCAGAATAAATAAATGACTCCATAGTAGTGCCCGAACTAAAAGGTGGTGATTGATGATTCCTCACCACCAGGATTTTGCGATTCCCCTAATCCTCTGTCGCCCTTTATGTATTTTCTCTCTCCTTTCTGCATGTCTTCGTGGTGCAACGGGTAGCACACTCGACACGTATTCGAGAGTTCCAGGTTCCAGTTCCGGCGAGGGGATTACTCATTTTTTCATGCCTCCTGTTTTAATATAACCTAATGACATTATAAGATAGAATAAAACAATTCTCAAGTAGAAAGAATTATACAGAAATCCTTTATCTGTCTCTTTGACTAAATTAGTTTTCCTCTCTATTCCTCGCAGATTCAATAATAAACATTTTTTCCTGTAATTTTGAAATTGCTAAGTTCTAACTAAGCATGGTTATTTCAACTCATACCTGAAGAGATTTGGAGTGCCTGATGCAGAGATACGTTCCATTAGCTCGGGAAAGTACAAAATGTTGAACATCTGTTGTTCTACTGTTCATAGCTTACTGAAGGAACTCATTTTTCTCAATAATATTACGTTTTTCTCCTCTCTCCATGTGTTTGTACAAGTTAAAATGGCATTCCTTTCTTTCTGTCTATTTATTTCTTAGGTTTCATTTGTGAATTTGTAACTTAATTTCATTTTTCAATTATGTTGTTGTATTTATTTTTTACATACATCTATAAGCCTTCTGTCGTACTATATGGTTCGTAAGGTGTTTAACTATTCTTAAAATAAATTTTTAAAATTTAGTCTTAAGTACGGATTGAAATTTTTCGTAACATTGCTGTATTTTGTACATTGTTGTAATCTGTACACTGTTGCGTTTTGTAACATTGCTGTAAATATTACAAAGAGAAAGGCCTTCGAGATAAAAGGCTCCACGATAAAAGCTACAGAAAATGTTAGCAAATAATAAGAAGCCTATGAAATTTCTATTGGATTAAAAATTAGTAATAAATCGTAAAGCCGTTTTAGTGGAACAAAACATGTAGAAGCTTTAAGCAAATTAAGAAGTATTCCCTTTCAAGGGCTCTAGAGAAGTGAGATTGAAAAATTAGCAATTGCCTTCACCGGGAATCGAGCCACTAACATCTGAAATACCGGCTCAGTGTGCTGACCACTACACCACGAAGGCATGCTAGAAAAGCGGGAGAAATACCTTACAAGCTATTATTTATATTAATTCACACTTCTCACATGTATTACCATTTACTTCAATTCCATACTGTTTAGAATGGACAAGATGATCTTGCACAGCCAACTCCTTACCAGTTCAGCTATACTGCTCCCGCTGATGGAGGAGGAAGTACCCACGAGGAAAGTGGAGATGGTTACGGAAGAGTAACGGGATCATATACTGTGCAAGATGAAGATGGCCGTTCTCGAATTGTACAATATGTAGCCGATGAAGGAGGATTCAGAGCTTCCATATCAACCAATGAACCTGGAACCAGCAATCAAAACCCAGCTGATGTAACCATTTCTTCTAGCGCCGATGAAGGTAAGCTTAATTTAAATAGCAAATATGTACCTAAAAATTAATTAGCCAGCAGTTCTTTAACGACAAATTATTCCACTCAAGAGCTCAACTGGTTGAGAAAATTTCTATTCCGTGATAATCGTTTCTCAGTTTAGCTGTGATCATTCTCTTTATTAAGGACTAGCGGAAGTACCCGATTCCAGTTAAATTTAAAGTCATGTATTATTTTGCTCATGACATCATTTGAAAATTCGTATAAAAGCATATTACACGTCATAAGGAATATGATGCGTCCTTTTAATGCATAAAATGTCAAAGAAACAAAATAATATTCAATACATGTATCACAACTGACTACGTAATCATAGAAATCATATGATATACATACCGATATGACATATGGAATTGCCATTCGGGTGAGCAAAAATACAAAATAGACGAATTCATCATTATTTTGAGCAAAATGAATTATTTTGAGCGATATGGAACCCACGTAAAATTTCGATAAGAAAAGTAAACTAATTCTCTTTCATTACATCAGCAACAGTGGCACGCGGCCATTGTTGCTGATATCCCTGTAGCCATAGTTGCTGATATCAGTACTGTACGGAAAAAGTGTTTTTTTTTTTTTTTTTTCAAAAAAATTTACTTTGACCTTTTCCAGAACCCAGAAAAAATTGTAGAAAGTTTGGTGACGTTAGCTATAGTAGTGACTGAGTTAGATTCGTAGTCAGATTATCAGATTCAAACTACATATTCATTTTCGAAACCTAGTAAATAAAATAATGATCTCACGAGACCAAAGGAAATAACTATGCTTGAAAATTATCTATGAAAAAAGAAGTCCGTAATTAATTTTAAAATATCTTGTGCTTAAAATGTGCGGTTTGTCAAAAGAGCGTGATTTGAAATGAAAGGTCATTTACCACTCTGAATACACATCAGAAACGGAAACAGGTTTTTCTCGTCGCGGAGTATGGCTATCACAAATGTTTTATAAATATCTATTGTTGCTTCGGAAGAAATCCGCTCAAAAAATATGGGCTTGGCTGCAATGCTTTAAAAGGGTTTCGCTGAACTATAACAATTAATAATTCAAAAAATCAGAGTTAAAATGGGTTTGTCGTTGCATAAAAGAGATACTTAAATATATACTGTCTGATGATGCCGAGAAGAGAAAGATACATTTAGCAATTTTCTGTATTTCTAACTAGACTTAACTTCTGTTGGCCGGTCGATCAAATGTGGGCATTTGTGAAAATCTTTCCTGTGTAAATGTAACACTTTCTCAATTTTTAAAGCAAATAATACAAATTATAATTCCTCAGTTGTGCAGGTTTCCTTATCATCTAGCGATATGTATTTAAAAAGAAAAACAAGAAAATAAATGCTAACGCTGAAGGAAATTTTTGAGATTGCGAAACAAATGTACTTTGGGATAGTGATAAAGTCTGTTACAAAGTCTGTTAAATAGTAACTTATACTAACTAATACTTTGATTTTCGTAGATAATATTTTACAGTGACCCTCGATTATCTCAGAATTAATTGTTTAATCAGTTATCTTAAAAAAGTTAAATAATAAATTTATTTTCTAGCGCTAATGTTCAAGGTCAAGCAAACTGGTCATGCACATTGAACCATCCTGATAATTAGTGCATTATTTATAATAACATTTTGTTTTAGCGCTTCGTTAAGCCAGACCATAGCTGTGCTTCCTCTGGGCGTGTATGAAATGTTTGAAAATTATTTCTCGTTATCCAAGCAAAGAATTTAATTTAGAAAGCAGTATATTCATCTGCTTAGTAGGAAAGCTAAGTTTAATGATGAAAGTCTGAAAAATTTCTAACAGAAATTATTTCACTGAAATAAAATGATTTAGCGTTTTTATAAGTTTAATAATTATTATAAAAATTTAATTGAACATTCTCTCTTGCAATAGGTTTCGATTATTGAAGAAAATTTATTTAAAGCTTTATTTTTATACGCATATGTTCTGAAAAACATAAGCTGTACTCAGATGTGCCGCTACGCGGTATACTGATGCTGCTAATTCATGTCTAAGTCCATTCTTTCAATACACCTTTATTTTCCTATATTTAAATTAGGTTACCAGGCATTGGCAGCTCCAGCACCAGCTGTCATTCCTACAGCTCCTGTTGCACCCGTTGCCATCGCTCCTATTAGAGTACCACAGCAGCTACCAAGAGGTGAATTTCAAGTTGCAAGGCCAATCAGACAACCCATTATAATTCCTGCTCAGCCAGCTGCAATTCCAATCCAACCAGCTCGAATTCAACCAGCTGCGGTATCATTCCAGCCAATTCGAATACAGCCAGCTGCAGTCCCAGTGCAGCCAGTTCGAATTCAGCCAGCTGCAGTTCCAATTCAACCAGTTCAAGTTCAACCAGAGTACGTTCCTGTCCAACCAGCTGCAGTTCCAGTTCAGCCAACTTATATACGTGTTCAGCCAGCTGCTGTTCCGATTGAAACGAGGAGATTCGTTGATCAACCTGTTGCAATTCCAGTTAGTTCGGGAAGGCTTATCAATCAACCAGTAGTAATTCCTATCGAGGGACCAAGAATTCTGACGCAACCAGCTGTTATTCCCATTGGAGGAACGAGGATCCTTTCTCAACCTACTGTTTTCCCTGTAGGAGGAAATAATATACGTTTCATTAGGCCTTATGGTGACATCCTAATAAAGTAATTTCTAGTTCATAACTTTCTGATTTAGGATAAAGGGGATTTATGAAGGCATAATTTCTGAATTTGCTTTTTAGTATGAAACAGCTTGGTGTTGGAAAACAAATTTAGCAAGTATCAGAAAAGTCTTTTTTTTAATTTTTAAATTTTAAAGTTAAATATATTGAGTTTTTTTATATTGCATTTTTTCGCATCTTTAATTAATTTCTCGAAGTGAAGTAAAAACGCACGAGGAGTTTTATATTCAAGCTTGTGATTAATCACTACTTTGTTCAAAGAATTCAACATTATTTTTTAATAACTTTAAAACAATAATGTGCAGTCGAAATAATTAATATATCTTCTAGTCAATATGTTACATATACTTCCTGGAAAATATTCGCCTTTTAAATTTTAAATGCAAACCTTTCCATGAGTTGAGGAGAGATAGAACAAAAGCTATAAGGATGAAAAATATATAAAGCAATGTGACAAAATTAAGTGATAGACTCTAAATAAAATGAGAATGAGATAACATCTCATGTGAACTGTAATTTTTATAATAATATACAATTACTAAATAAAATAGGATTTGAATCGTTATGAATAATGCGAGTGTTGAACTTTTGTTGTTTCTAATATATGTTTTATAATTGAGAAAAAAATATTTTTTCTTTTAGCCGCAATAATTTATTAATTATATATTGTTACAGAAGTTAACAGTAAGCAATCAGTAATTATAAATCATTATGGAAGTTGCAGTGAATATATGTTATTTGATCTCATTTTATTTAGAGTCTGAAACTTAATTTTACCCCATTGCTTTTCTTGTCTTTTCTTTTTGGATACTTTTAAGTTAGCAGTATTTAAACATTTGTTCAAGTACTTGAACTGATGTTAACTCGTAGAAATCTTTTAGGTGGCTCTTTTTAAGTTTTTCCTGTTTTAAAACTGGGCATTTTAACTTGCATATAACACTTAGGCATAAAATTTTTAAAACGGTTATGTATATTTCGTAATGAGAAATATACATAACCGTTTTAAAAACCTTTTTTCAATTGAGTCTGTGCTCTTGTTTTGTTCTCTCATCACATGGCGAATTTATTATAGGTATGCACGGATCACTTACACTGGAAATTAATTTACTTTCATTTTATTTTTGAAAATTTGAGTGATTACAGAAAGCATTCTTGAATTATAAAGACTTAAAACTCGTACTACTTATTATTTGAAAGCGTTTCAGATCACTAAGTTCATAGTAAAGATTTCAGATTACTAACATCATAAATTAAATATTCCTTTAAAACTTAATGAAGAATTAAATAGGATTTCTCCACACGGCTATCTACAATCATTATCTTAATACACTCTTCACATAAACGCAAAAAGCTAAAATGTTTCATCTTAATGAATTTAAGAAGCTATTTAAAGTGTCAAAATTTTGCTTTATTATGATATGTATATACTTGTATATGTATGTAAACAGTTTTATATCATCTTGAATTTTTTATGCTCAACACAGGGAAGCTGGGCAATAGGTACGCCATTTCTGATAAATGCTTATTGCTCAGAGCTTATTGTTTATTATGTATCATAAACAATGGGTAACGAATTGTCTTTTAAACTTGGAATCTTTTGTGTTATTTTGTTTCTAATGTCATATGCTATATTTTAATGTACAGTGTATATTTGGTCTGTTTATATATCATCTGTCATGTGACTTGTATATTTACTATTGTATATTATTTAGAGGTGGTTTGTGTAATTTGCTGAATCAAAATAAAAGTTCGTGGAAGCTTTTAAAATTTTTTTTTGTCTTTCTTAATAATTGGAAATTTGAAATGTGAAGATAATGAAATCTCCTAAAAGAAAGCAAGCAAAGCGAGGTTTCACAAGTAAACGATTTCCTATGATAAATGTATTACAAGCAATGTATAACTTTTCAGTGCAGAATATTGTATATATGAAAACAGCATTTTAATATACACTACACAGCATGAAGCAACTAATTGAAATGTTGGCTTTTCTACATCAAAACGTAATCATATTCTCAATTAACATACAGAAATATTAGGCTGTGTTAGTATAAGACTATACTTCGCCCGTGCCGAATATTAGTCTACAGATTTTAGTACACAAATCGAGGTTTTTATTTACATCATTATTACCCTCATCTAATAGTCAAATTACTTCTGTACCGTTTACGCATAACGAAGATCTTTGAAAGCTGTTTACAGTCAAAAGCAAGAATCTTCTAATATGAAAAAAATTATTTAAAATAATCTGAAAGCTTTCAGATTTTACATTACGTCCAAAGGAGTGTTTTTTAACGTTTTGTGTGTTGCCCTTATTTATTAAATATCATGCGTTTCGTACTTAACCCACATAAAATTCAATTCAACAGCAGTTTTACAAAATATTTAAAACCAGCATATATTTAGAATTTCCAATAGACAGTCTAGCAAAAAAAATTTTTTGGGGGTTCTCAGAGAAGGATGATGAGCTGACCTTGCTCTCACAAGAGCGTCCCAGACATTCTGTATACGGTTAAGGGGTGAAGAACTGGTTGTCCAATCCTTGCTGTGAACCGCCGCACTTTGCAGGTAAACTTCAACCAGCTGCACCTTATATAGACGAGCGTATGGTCTATTAACAAAAACCCGAGACAAACTACGCTTCTGAAGAGTTTAATATAGAGCTCTACAATCTCCTCTCTGTAACTCAGAGCAGTCATGGAGTCTTTGTCAAACACATGTAGGGGTGTGCGGCTATTCAGACATAATGCCTACCCAAACTATTACACTTCCACCACCGTTATGATCCTTTTCTTTCAAGAGGGAAGAATGGTATCGTGCTCCAGGCTCTCTGCAGACACATTCACGCCAAGAATCAGTGCCTAGGTTGAATCTTGACTCACCTGTAGAAATTATAGTGTCTGGTTCAAGTATAGTGTACTTAAGTCTAGCTCAAACAGCTGGTCTTATGGCATACAACCCTGTCTCATGAAGCCTTCGAGTAACTGAAGAATGTAAAACTTGAGTTCTACTGACAGTATACAGCTCAAGTGAGAACTGTGAAAGCTCTATCAATTCTGCGTCGCCACGCCGAAAGTGCTAATGAACAATCCTCCTTCATCACTACGGATCTTGGTTGATCTTGTCCAAGTTTTTTCGGAATGGATCCAGTATCTTCAAACTGTTTCCACAAATTCCAAATGTCACTGGGCGTTACATTAAGCGTTGTAGCTATCCGAGCTTATGATGGGTCTACAATAAACGGACAGTTCTTCATGTCATTTCATGACCCATGCGTTAGTGGCTACTCAGTTTTTCTGAGATCTTACAAAATTTACGCAACCCTTATTGCAAGACACACAGCGAATGTCTTGATGGAGTACGACAGCACAAATCTTCGAAAACCCATCTTATGCCTCTCTCCACAATCACAGCTTCGCAGACACTCACGTGTAAGCTTACTATTGTGTTATTTTAATGTTATGTTTCTATTAAGTTATTTTAATAAGTATACAAGCACGTATTTACTTATTAAAATAACACTAAGAAATACCTTTCGAAGTATAAATGTTTCCTTTATGATTTTATTGGGAAAATATCAGCTTAACTTACAAGTGGGAATTTATATACAATTTTGTAACTTCAACTTTCAGAAATAAGAGATGAGGAACTTATGTCAATTTACATTATGTTACAATTCTCGATGCTTCCTCTCTTTTCTAATGATGTTCTCCGTGAAAGTTTTTAGGAAATTCTGTACTTTTAGGAATAGCCAAATAAATAAATTAGCAACTTTCATGCGAGAAACGCAGCTTTATCTGATCACTCGATAAATCCCGATACAAAATTCAAGTAATGAAAACACAATATTCCATTTCAAACTTCCACCTAACTAGTCTAGGCTTAACAGAAAATAAATAACGATGATCTTCATCTTTTCTACAGTATGTTTTCGACAAGCAGAGAAACTTTACACGTGATATCTGATATGCTTTAATATATCGGAATTCTTGTTTAGATGATGGTTGCCAGAGGCATTTGGCCAAATTTAAATGCATATAAGGCGATTCCGAAGATATAATGTTTGTGGATCACGCCGCTGTGCCTGGGGTCGAATTTTGAACTTTTCTGACAATAGTACCTTTAAGGAATGGAATATTTAAAATCTGTTGTCCCAAAAATCTTCTTGAAAGGTTCCCATTGTAAGAAAAGAAGTTCAAAATATTCAGATTCCACCAGCTGAAATATTTTCGTTAAATTTGAGAAGGAGTTTATGCAGATAGCCCTTAAAGGTTTTGTGTAAAATTAAATAATTCTATCCAGTTCTAAAAATATGTGGAATGATTCAATCAAAATGTTAAACATTTCATTAACTGACTAATTATATTTCCGGCACATAAAAATAATAATTTAACTTATGAAGTTTGAAAATATTGCTCTTTCCTTCGAATTTTTCATATGTGTTAAAACGAGATGACATTTCACTTCAGCTTATTTACAACCTAATTTGTGATTTATTAAAAAACATTAAGAGCTTGTTTTGAGTTAATTGTTGAAAGCGTTATCAATTATAAGTCTTAAGAATGCGATTTTCTTAGAAATATAGTACAGGGTTACTACAAATGATTTCACCACCGTTATGATCAGATTTCAAATTCATCAGATTTCAAAACGCTGTATTTCATTAAGTATTTCAAGTAAAAAATTACAAAATAAAAGCTTGAAATTTTAGTCATAACACAACAATTATTCGATATTTTCTGCTCTTCTTACGTGACATATGCCTGCCATGTAAAACGTGGACAGACTCCAAATCTGTCCACATATTTTGAAGCATTTCTCCTCTGATTGTCAACTAAATAGAATGATGCGGTCCTGGAGCTCCTCTAATTTTCCTAGACATTTTCTTGCCTTTAAAATATTACAAGGGGAAAGGTCCGGAAACTTTGATGACCGTCTAAGTCAGGATCATATGCCTACCGATCCCTCACTATGATAGTGAATTCGAGCCTCATCTTGCTGGAATATGAAATTCTCAGCATCATCTTACATTTGAAGAAAAAACCACAACTTCAATATATCAAGGTATGGCATATCCGTCACTTCTTTCGTTACGTGAATATCAAGAAAACGTGCAGTTCAGGACTTGGAAATTATAGGAACCCCAAACTTCGATTAATCATTCGTAATTACCTCATAATTATTTGGAAGATTATTTTAGTATACCATTAAAGTAGCGAAAATACTTCAAAATCAGAGAGATGCAATTAAATTACCATAATTTAAAATTCATAAAAATGATTGTTTAATAGCAAAATATGCAATAATCAAAATTCCTATGTTTACTTTTTTGCAAAGCCTACGATACCTGCGTAGTCTATGAATAACCTGCAATGTTATTCATAGACTATAATGTTATAGATTTCTAGATGTCGAGATTTTAAGATTTTAAATTTTCATTCTTGCGGTACGGGAGATAATCTTTGGTATACAATGTGTTTATCTTCTACTAATGTAGATCACATTTCTCACCAGCAAAGCTTCAAATTCCTCTAACATATCTGCAATGAGATTTTTTTCTGCATTGAGCACAGGAATTGACATTATTATACACTTCGTCCTAAAAGTTTATAGACCAAGTAAATTACATGTCTAAGAAAAATAGAAATGTGTAAAATTACGTAATTAAAATACGTTTATTGACGTATTTTAATTATTTAAATAATCTAATTAATTTAATTATTTATTATCTGCATTGAGATTTCTTGCGGTACGGTAGATAATCTTTGGTATTCAATGTATTTATCTTCTACCAATGTAGGTCACATTTCTCACCAGCAAAGCTTCAAATTCCTCTAACGTATCTGCATTGAGATTATTTTTTTTCCACAGAACACCGGAATTGATATTATCATACACTTTGTCCTAAACGTTTTTACATGTCTAAGAAAAATAGAAATGTGTAAAATTACGTAATTAAAATACGTTTATTTAAAACAAATATACATTGCATCTGAGGGAAAATTTAACAAAATTATCAGTTTGTCTTTTAGGGAAAATAAAAATAGAAAACATATGTGTCCCAAACGTTTGTAGATAAGTGTACTTTTATGCAAATTTGTTAGCAACAATCGAGAAGGGAAATTTCAGTTTTTTTTATAAGAAAATGCCCTCATTCGAACCTCCAATTAAAAAAAAAAAGAAAAAGAATAATTTGAATTCTGTATAAATATGCCTAAAACTACGCAACTTCCTGATGCTGAAGTTAATAGGATTCTAAAATTTAAATTTCACGGCAGGTCTGTTAAAAAATGTTTGAAACTTCTGAATCCATCTGTAAGCATGATTTCTCCTATAATGTCTCTTAAGATGACAAAACCACATTCAGGAGGATAGCCGCAGCGATAGGCGAATACAAAGAATGGCTTCGACACAGAAAACGTCGGTTCGCCAAATAAGAGCTTGTGAATTGCAAATATCCAAAAGCACTGTACATAAGCGAATCCAGAAACCTATATGATTCACGTAAAATTGGTTCATTCATTACCACTCTCAAAGCTTCCCAAACGAATGAGATTGCAATGGACCTGTAACAACATACATATGGGGACAAATGGATCTCTGTAATTTTCAGAATAATATTCCGCAGCGTCGGTTTACAAGATCGAGTGGCAACAAGAAAAGGATTTCTGTGTGCTCCACGCAGCGTTAGTTTCGTGCAAAGACCCAATACACAAGAATAACGTAGGTAAGTGGTACCAACAGTTTGTGAAAACTGGATGCTTTCTAAA